CTCCCTCAGGGCAGTTATACTCTTTGCTTGCTGTGGAACTTAGTGTTATGACAGGTAAATAAGACTCTGACAGTCTTGTTGCATGAAATAAAAATGATCTTCTTCTTCTGCATACTTTGCCTTTTGCATGTTTTTCTCTTCTCCAGAAAGTGATGACTCATCACTATTAAATTTGTATTTGGTGCCTCCCATGGCAGAGTACTGGGCTAGGTGCTGGGGCCGTTCCTCAGATGTGCTTTACCTGAGCATCTGAGGATGCATACTGTGATAGTTGCTGCTACAGGGAAATGGTGTCACTTGGACGTTTGATTTGGGCTTTGGAAAACAAATGTAGAGGGAGGAATTTTCACTTTCTTGACCCATCAAGTGTTGACAGTGTTCCTCATTGTCTTGTCTGGTACCTGACATGATATATAGGAAGGTCATTGCATAGTCGCTTTGTCTGTTGTCCACAAATGCTGCTGGGAACAAGATGGTGGGGTGTTTTCTTCCTTGTATTGTTAACTCCAGAGCTCACCAGGTTCCAGTGTAACTCAGCTCTGAGCAGGTGTTAATGGGATTGTCCTTCAAACCTACCCTGTCAAGAACTTAGTTGTCAGTAATAATTAATTTAGCAAGTAGATTTTTAAATCCTTAATCCACACCAGTCATTTAGACAGGCTGTGGTATCCAGAAACTATTAGAATGTGCCTGCCTGAAGTGTAGAATCCAGTGGGGTGAGAGATGTGAGAACAATTGTAAAATGCAGTTGTTTCTGGTGGAGTGTGGCCAAAAAGAGCCTTGGAGGAAGGAGGCCCTGCAGCTTCCTGGAAGAATTGGGGAAGGCTTTTCAGAGGAGGTAGCTTTTGAACGCATTAATTGAGTGCCTCCTTGTGCCACACACTGCTGGAGCCCTGGGCACCCCCCTCATCTTCTAGCTGGGGAGGGCACTCCCCAGGTGGTGACACAGTAGGGCTGGATGTTGAGAGAGGGGAAGATGATAGCACAGGGTTGGGGAGGCATTCACATTAGGAGGGTCCTGTGTGCTGGCTTCGGGAATTCAGGCTCAGTGTGACTTTAGAAAATGTGGGACTTGGAGGCAGGCCATCTGCAGCTGGCCTCCTGGCCATCTTCTAGAGTCATGCTTCAGCCTTATTTCAGAAGCACATACCTTGTTTTTGCAATCTCCCCCATACAGGGCACCATCAGAATGCAGTTGGCCTGGAGTGTGGCTTCTGTTTTTATGGTACTGGTGGCACCAGGTGGAAGGGCTTGAGGACAGGTGGCCTTGGCTCATGCAGAGTTTGGTTTTAGAGAGTATCGCAGGCGGAAGTGCTTTTTTCCTTTTAGGTTTATTTCCCCAAGATTGACCCACTGTTTCTGAGGTTTAAGGAACTTAACCTGGAGTTGGAACCAGTTAAGGCCTCAAAGGTTACTCAGCTTCTCCCTAGAATAGGCCCTCAGGCTACTGTCCCTTGCCCCCAAGGCAGAAAAGAGCAGTAGAGAAAGAGACCACCACCAAATGGCTTTGGGCTCTTCCAAGTCTTGCTTCCTGCTTCCCTGTGCTTTTGTCGTGGCAGCTATTCAGAGAGAGGTCCTTGGATTGTCATGAATGAAATTCAGTAGTTTCACTTAAATGGTTTCCAATTCCATAGACATGAGTGGATGCTTCTGTTTGCCCACGCACTTTCCTAGGAAACATAGACTTTTGTGTGTTCCTTGACTACTCTAGTGTCAGAATTTCTTGTGGGCTAACCCACATCTCTCTTGTAACAATTTAAATCCAGTTTTTGCAGGTACTGTAGCTCTTTATGTGGCTAGGAAGTAGAGGAAATGCACTTGTTTGTTGGGTACCCACTGTGTATTGGGTGCTGGGTTTGCCACTGCTTTCACCAAATCTCATTTTTTCATCCTCAGACCAGGCTGTGAGTTATATGGCATCACCTCCTTTTATTGATGGGGAGGAGGGAAGTTGAGGCTCAGAAAGAATAAGCACCTCATTTGAGGTTGCCCCAGCTGATAAGTGGTAGAGCCATGATTTCAGCTGGGCCTTCCAGAGGCTCCCAGCTCTATTTGGTGTGAGGATTTCCTCTTATGTATATGGCTTTTTGCCAGTTTCATCTGTTAGAGTGTTGATTATGTTTTGATAATTCTAATTACTTTGACATTGTCTAAGATAAGCTCTTAGTTATGTGCTAAAAATGTTTCCTACTGTATTTTCCTTTCAATTAAAAAATGTAGAACTTTCAGATTTGTATATATTTGAATCTACCTGCCTCTTCTTTTTGTGAATTCTGTTGTTTCATAACATAGCAACTTGATGGATTTTCCCAGAGCGGGGGACACAGAGATAGTGTGCAGTGGCCTTGCCTTTGAGGGACCTGTGGCTAGGGTAGAGGCTCCAGCCCAGGGCATTGTGAGCCACGAAACATTTAAAACATGTTCATGTGTGGTCAGCTGATGCCCATATTCTTACAGAGGATGAACTGAATTTTCTCTCTGTAGGTTAGAGAAACATCTTATTTTTTTGCAGCACCTTTATAATTTCACTTTTTTTTTTTTTTTTTTTTTTTTTTGAGACAGAGTCTCGCTTTCTTGCCTAGGCTAGAGTGAGTGCCGTGGCGTCAGCCTAGCTCACAGCAACCTCAAACTCCTGGGCTCAAGCGATCCTCCTGCCTCAGCCTCCCGAGTAGCTGGGACTACAGGCACGCACCACCATGCCCGGCTGATTTTTATATTATATATATTAGTTGGCCAATTAATTTCTTTCTATTTTTATGGTAGAGACGGGGTCTCGCTCAGGCTGGTTTTGAACTCCTGACCCTGAGCAATCCGCCCGCCTTGGCCTCCCAGAGTGCTAGGATTACAGGCGTGAGCCACCGCACCCGGCCTAATTTCACTTTTGTATTAAACTGTAATTTTGTCTTCATTTTTGTTTTGGTGTGGTACAGTGGTACAGTGTGGTTCTAACTCCTGAGAAAAATTAATAGCCAATTAGTACACCATGATTAAATAATCCTTCCTTACTCACTGGGTCATATTTCAAGTTTTTATATATAGTTCAGTCTATTTCTGAATTCTGCATTTTGATTCATTCCTTCACATTTCTATTTTTGCTCTAGTACTGTACTGTCTGACTGGCTCCTTCAATTTTTGGGAGGGAGCGAGAGTACTCCTTTCTCCTTTTAATGAATTTGCTTTTGCTGTGTTGACAAAGGCAGGCCAGGCTTCCTGAAGAGGAACATGAAGGCTAGATGCAAAAGCTGAGGACACCCAGACTGGAGTGGTTATTGTTGTTACTTCTAGGCTCAAGACCTTCAAGACTTGGTGTTTGGTGATAGCAGCTACAAACAAAATGCCTGCTGGGGGCCGGGGGGGCTATTAAATGCTTTCCTTGTGGTACATTATTTAATTCTCCCACGGCAATATAGTGGAGCTAGGATTAGAACCTAGGAATGTCTGAGTCCAAAGTCCTGTTCTATATGTTCTATTCTGTCCATCAGATTTAAATTCACTGACTGATTTTTTAGTTTTGGTATTTTAAAGGAAAATAAAAGGTAACATATACCAGGGTTCTCAGTCTGCTGGCGGCTGTGTTTTACAGGCTGGTGTGCCCTGTACCCTCTCTTCCCCACTTGTCTTAGGCTAGAGAATTTTAGACATGGCCGTAGATGTGTGTGTGTGTGTGTGTGTGACAGTTTTGCCTCTTCTCACACAAGTCTTGTAGATCTTTATTCTTTGTTGATTATTTATCTTCAGTGAGCCAGCTTCTTGCCCTGGGTTTTTATAACCTTATACTAAGCTGTTCTAACTTAGGTGTGGTCCCATAGGTTCCAGCTCTGCTGCTAAATAGCAGTTTAGTCTTGGATCCATTTCTTTCTTTCTTTCTTTTTTTAAATCCAACAAAGTCTCCAGATAATTGGATCCATTTCTAAGCTCTCTGAGCCTCAGTTTCTTCCCTGGTAAAGTGGATACTATGCCCTACCTCATAGCCATGATAAGCATGACTGAAACATTTGTGGAGAGGCACAGCCAATTTGGATGTGGTTGGGGTAGTCTTATTGCAAATGGCATATGTAATTTATTTTGTTGTTTTCTGTTTTAATGAAGATACTTTATTTGTTTATTTTAAGGCTGGTCAAGTGAAGCAGTGGGAGTGGAGAAGGAACAAAGGATTCTGTAACTGGTTGTGATCAATTAGTCGTAAACACCACTGCACTCAAACTAACCGACAGATTTTTATGCTGTCTCAGAACAAATAGAACCTGGACTTATGAATGGGTTATGAATACACATACTTTTTTTTTTTGAGACAGAGTCTCACTTTGTTGCCCAGGCTAGTGTGAGTGCCGTGGCGTCAGCCTAGCTCACAGCAACCTCAAACTCCTGGGCTCAAGCAATCCTACTGCCTCGGCCTCCTGAGTGGCTGGGACTATAGGCATGCGCCACCATGCCCGGCTAATTTTTTCTATGTATATTAGTTAGCCAATTAATTTCTTTCTATTTATAGTAGAGATGGCGACTCGCTCTTGCTCAGGCTGGTTTCAAACTCCTGACCTTAAGCAATCAGCCTGCCTCAGCCTCCCAGAGTGCTAGGATTACAGGCGAGAGCCACTGTGCCTGGCTGAATACACATACTTTTGATAGAGGTATCCTGTTTATCATTTAATCTCCCCCAAAAGAAAAACCCCAATAAAACCCCCCTTTCTACCTAACACAGGCCTCATGTTCCCATTGCTGTCCTGGGGATCGAGAGTGACTGGTAGGGTCATGATAATGAAGATGATTATTTTTACTTTAGATGTGCCCTTTGTTTGAGTTATCTTCCTGCTATTTTATATCATGATAGTATATCTTAAAACTCTAGCTTCTGGTCCTGAATCAAAACTTGGGTATGTAGGACTTTCTTCAAGGCTTTCTCCTTTAAAAGGGGCATCAGAGGTTTCAGCTGTTTGTCAAGGGAGTGGCATCTTTGGGTTTATATCCACTTTCTTAATTTCCATGTTTGTGTTTTTTTCTAGTTTCTTTTTGGACCAAGATGACTGATGGAAACCTTTCCACCTCTACAAATGGCGTAGCCTTGATGGGCATTTTGGATAGTCGACCAGGAAGCTCCCTTCAGAACCTGCAGCACACCCAGGTTCTCCTCGCAGCACCTGATTACGGGCCCAGGCTAAAACTCGGTGCTTTAGAGGATCAGCACAGCCTTCAGTCAGTGGACTCAGGCATTCCTACCCTGGAGATTGGCAACCCAGAACCCGTACCCTGCAGTGTGGTCCATTTGAAGAGGAAACAGTCTGAGTCGGAGATCATCCCTGAGCGGGCCTTCCAGAGCGCATGCCCATTGCCATCCTGTGCACCACCAGTTCCCACCAGCGCTGAGCGGGAGCAGAGTGTGCGGAAGTCTTCCACGTTTCCCAGAACAGGCTATGACTCGGTGAAGCTCTATAGCCCCACCTCCAAAGCCCTGAACCGCAGCGATGATGTCTCCATCTGTAGCGTGTCCAGTCTTGGCACAGAGTTGTCAACCACACTGTCTGTTAGCAATGAGGACATCTTGGACCTCGTGGTCACAAGCAGCTCCAGTGCCATTGTAACCCTAGAGAATGATGATGATCCACAGTTTACCAACGTCACCCTGAGTTCCATCAAGGAAACCAGTGGCCTACACCAGCAGGACTATGTTTATGAAACTGAGGAGGGGAGTAAATTGAAACTATTGGGACCATTTAGTAACTTCTTTACAAGGTAATGCCATCTTTGTCTTTCTAGAAGAGCTAGGTTATTGAATTCAGACCAATTGCCTTGTTCTTCTTGTCTAAAATGTGTGTTCTGTCTTGTAAAGCAGGCACTGTGTCATACAGATAATTGTGCCTTTTCCCAGAAGCCCACTATCCTGTGGACTTATGTGTAGGACTGGTCTGCTGGTGATCCTGCTGTTGGATTCCTCACTTCCAGCTGTGACTTCTATGTCCCTGGCTCACTTGCACAGTCTTGTCATTCTTGGCTTCTGACCTGTGGTGGCTGTGGGTGACCCACAGGTGGCCAATATTGACACATCAGCAACCGTAGTGTGTCAGCCTTAGCCTTGGAGGGGCCTTTTACGCTAATAACTGAGTTTCTTGGGCCAAGTAGAGGGTGCTGATGAGGGTGATAGTAGTTAGTAACTCACATTTCTAACTCCAGCCGCTATTGGCATAGCCCAGAGCTGGGATTTAAGGTGCCCTGGTTGTGTTTCCTGTGCTCCTGCATGGCTGTGTTCTTGTGTTCATGTTCTGGCCCTGGCGCTGCCGTTGAGGTATGTGCTGTTACTGCAGCCACACCCATTCCCACCCTGTTGGGCAAAGGCCATGCCCCCCCTCCCTATGGGGTCCTGTCATCCAGGTACCAGCCCAGGCCTGCTGTGGTTACTGTATCTCCCCCAGTGCCCTGTGGGGGACAGCTCCTTCACCTTCTGTCTCTTATTTATGTTCTCATGCTTTGGTTCAACAAGTGTAATATCGCAACAGAAATGATCTTAGGTAATGATTTAGGTTTTAGTCTGGGGCTGATGGGGGTGGGCACGTAGTCAAGCACACAAACAAATGTGAACTCCCAAACTGTGAAGTGCTGTGAGGAAGGGCATGGTGGCTGTGGAGAGTTTGGGCAGAATTGTGATCTGCTCCACAGCTGCTCTTTGGAGGGCTCTGGGCCTAGGGCTTGGCAAGTGAGAGTATTTCTGCTGTTGACCCTGGCTGCCCTGTGTGCATACCAGCAAAGCCTGTGTTGCATACTTTGCAGTGCTGGGTGTCTGTTTGAGATGGTGTGATGTGCTGCCAGGAGTCCACTGAGACTTTTGCGACTGTAGGCATGCACATTCACTTATCATTGTGTGCGTCGCTTCATCAGCTGAATGTGGGATCATCTTGGGTATGTCTAAGACCTGTCCTGAGTGAAAGGCTCTCCAACGTGCTCTGTGGTTTTGTGGGGGCACCTTTTTTGTCTAATGTGCTAACAGGTGTCCTGCTACCACAAGTAGAGTTCCTGGTCTCAGAACTCAGTAACTCAGTGATAGCCTTCAGCGGTAGGAACCCAGGAACTTTGGGGAGACTCTGTCCATATTTCTTCTGCGGCTGCAGCCATGCTGTAGTGTGGTGGTTCAGATTTGTGTGGCTGATGAGTGTGTTCATGTTCTGTGGTTTGGAATACTACCTAGAGCCTGTTAAATGTGAATCCTCAGGATCCATCTGGAACTATAGAATCAAATCTCAGGGAGAGGGCCTAGGTTTTTAGAATTGCCTGAGATTCTTGGCAAATCTGGGAAATGTTGCTTGGAATGGAGTTGGCTGGAAAACAGCATAGTAGAAAGAGCTTGGCTTTGGAATTCAACAGATCTGTACCTATAACCTTGCTGTGTGACCTTGAACAAGTTATTTCACCTCTCTGAGTCAGAGAGGTGACTCTCTTACTCGTCCCTAAAATGGCATTAATAAGAGCCTAGCACATAGTGCCTATTATGTTGTTGATGTGCACTATACTCTTACCATGTCATCCTCCTCACTGTGCTTTCCATGTGGCTTCTTCATCTGTAGAGTGGGGATCATGAGCCCTTCTTCATATAGCAGTGATGGGGATGAAGTGCGTTAACATGTGTGAAATTTAGATCCAGACACGTAGTAAACTTTTAAGTGTTAGTTGCCTGTGATTATGCTGACTGTACCTTTCTCTGTCTGCTGCTTTTGTTATATGGCTGAGTTGAGCTGTCTGTGTTGGGACCTCTTCCCTTTTAAAAGAAAACACCATAAATTATGCAATTTCTAAAGCTACCGTTTTTTGAAAATCATTCTGAGTTTTGTGCCACAGAAAACAAATGTTTCTTCTTTGTTTCATTCCTTGGTTTTTGTCTTCTTGCCCTTGTTTTGATGGCTGTGACATTATTATTGTGAACCACGCTTAAATACCTGTAGGCAGCAGGTGGAATATAATGATAAATGAATCAAATATGGGATATCATGGGTTAAGTCTAGTAGGTTTTTTTCTTAGAGTCTTAAAAATGTTAGAGAAGTGTTTCAATCTAGAGTCCCCTTGAGGGGAACAGGTTCTGTGCCAAAAATCTTTGGAGCCCAGTAAACATCTTACAGGTGAGTAAATGAAACTATAGTGAATGTTTTGTAACTCAGCCCTTAGCCTGACCCTTAGCAGGTACCCAGAGGACTGTGGATCTTGTGAGCTTTTATTGAGAGCAGAGTTGGAACTAGAGCTTGTCCTGTAGGGCTCCTAGGCCAGGCTTCTGAGCCATCCTGTTTCTGTACTTTGTCCCCTCCCCCTCATGCCCTTCTGTTTTTCTTGTCCTAAATGAATCAATCTCTAGGTTGTAGGAAAACATGTGGGCAGTATTGTGGATGGTTAGTCCCGGAGAACATGCTTGGAGGAAGGGTGGAGCTGGTCAGGGAACTTGTGTTTGAAGGGGGTAGACCCATTGTTAATCCTGACTGCCTGATGAGGCAGCCTGGGTGAGGGGGAGCTGCAGAACTCCCATTTGTTCCTTTCTTCACCCACACTGTAATAAGCACCTCTGTCCCAGACTGCACCCTGAGCTTGAGAGAGTCCTTGCCTCTATGGAGCTCACAGGTGGCGGTGTGCAGACAAGGCGTTTTGGGATAGGTGCAGGCATAAGTGCTATTGCTGTGGGCAGGGACAGGGGTGGCACCCAGTTGGGAGTGCTGGGTCTGGAGTCAGGCTGGCTGGGTTCATAGAGAGCTCTCCTACTTAATGGCCATGTGACCTTGGGCATGTTACCTGTCTGAGCCTTTCAGGGGGGACGAAACTACTGTGCAAGGTTAGAGATCAAACAGACAAAACACCTGACTTCCTGGCATTCCATAAACAGACGCCTTCTATAGTTCTAACATAAACAGTATAATTTCTAAAAAATGTTTTCTAAAGCTTTCTCTAGTTCTTACCCCCATATTGTGCTTATTTTAGTGGAATTGCTGAATAAGTCAGAGCAGGATTTTTCACTTTGGTTGGATGATTCTTTGTCGTGGGTGGCTGTCCTGTGCTTTAGAGGATGTTTTGCAGCAACCCTGGCCTCTACTGACTAGATGCCAATAGCACTCCCCAGTTGTGACAACTGAAAATGTCTCCAGACATTGCCAAATATCCTGGGGGCGGGAGTAGGGGGTGTGGGCAAAATCACCCAGCCTTTGAGAATAAATGTCAGTATTTATTTGCTTCCTTGGAGGAAATTTACCAATGTAGTTTGAGCAGGATTGTTATCTTGTGTAGAAGAGAGGGTCTATGTTAACGAGTCCTGTGAACTCAATGTAGAGTAACAGCATTTATCTAGAAACCCCGATAGCAAGTATAAGAGGAATTCAGGAACATGCTTGTGGTGTGTTTATTTTCCACAGGAGACGGGGCTGGCTTCCATGAAGCCAAGGGTTTAATCTGCTAATCAGCACTGCTCTGGAAGGTAACAATTAACTTTGACCACTTACATCTTCTTTTATGTAGCCCTTGTATTAAGCTCTCAGGAGAGATGATCTGAATATCTTTTGCTGAAGAGAGATGTTTGAACTGCATTTGAAGGATGAGAAGGAGCTTGCCCAGTGAAGGTGTGGGACAGAGGGAACAGCTTGTGGCAGGCTGGGAGGTGGGGTGCACCTGGCTGTGTTTAAAGAACTGGAATGATGGATTTTTCTGGTCTGTTTTTCAACCTGGCTGAGAGCCCCTTGGGGGCCCATTCTGTGTCGGTTCATCCTGGCATGAGCTATAATTCAAAGGCAGAGTCAGAGGAGTATGGTGGTTGAGAGCTGGGGCTGCTCAGACCCAGATTCGAACCCTAGCTCTGCCATTTTCATTCTGTGTGACCTTGAGAAAGTCACTTAGCCTCTGTGATCTCCAGTGTATACTTGAGTGACATGGGGTTAATTATACCTCTTGTAAAGAGTTAATGTGAAGGTTAAGCAAGATAATACAAGTAAATCTCTGGGCAGAGCACATACCCAATATACAGGTTGGATTTCTGGCCCTGTTCTCTGCTTTTGTTGGGGTTTCACATGAGATTTCACTTTCTAAAAAAAGGTTTTGCTATATGAAAATATTTGAAACCACTGGCTTAAGAAAAATAAATCTTCAGATGGGTACTTTCACTTGATGTGGAAGTGTTCCACCAAAATTTCAGTTCTGTACTGATGTTGAGCTTTGGGATTTGATTCTTTGGAAGGTGACAGAGCAGTGCTAAGAAAGATATGTGCTCATTGCTTTCATTTTAGGGAGGTGAGTTAGCTTACCAATGGGGTGGATGCACTTTGGAGATGCGTTACAACCCGAGCCCTGGGCACAGGGAGTAGCAGGCACTGTTTAGTGTGTGCCCGGTGCCATTCTTCACTTTGACATGGTGGACTTGTTTAATCTTAGCAATCATAGTAGATAGTGTGGCATGGGGTTCATGGGCTGGCTTGTTCAGCCTCCAGGCTACTTTCCTTCTACTGTAGCAATTAGAGAGTTAAAAATGTACGTTTCCTGGAGTCTCTTGCAGCTAGGCTTCTGGATATGAACTAGATACCATCACATTCTCTCATTTGTGAGAGATTTGAGGCAGATATTAGGCAGAGACCATTTTTCTCCTCCCTTTTGCTGCTTTCAGCTGCCTTGTTATGTCTTAGAGATGTGGGGATTTCCTGTAGCATCATCCCTTTGTTCATTTTCAGTTTCCTGGATGTTGAGAGATGGTTGCAGTGGAGAGGGTGGCTGCCTCCTGTGTG